CAAAGTATTTATATAGTCCATTGGGATCATGGAGGCGGATGAGACGATGGGAGGTGATGGAGAGTGGTATGCACCATGGACAGTCATGACCCCATTGGACTATGGCTTTTTGGCATCCATTTGACTTGATTATAATTACTATCAGGCTTTAGATGTATTGCATGCTATGTTACTGACTGGAGTCCCGTAAACGTTGTCTTTTAATTTTTTTTAAGTTCTAGATTTTCTTTCAATTGCAAGAGAAGTTTTTTCTGAGGTGTAATTTATAAGAAATAGGAGTCGGTGGCCAGTTTGAAAGGGCCCTTTTTGTCTTTGAATTTTTTAGTTAAACTTGTCAAATAGAGCCATCTGTCGCTTTTTCTTTCTTGCTCATTCATGCTTCTAAATGCTACAGTTCAATTGTGTACCCACTTGTTGTTGCTGCTCATCCACATGAGTCCAATCAGTTTGCCGTTGGGTTGACCGATGGGGCAGTGAAAGTCATTGAGCCAGCTGAAACTGAGGGCAAGTGGGGAATGATGGTTCCCATTGAAAATGGGGTACTCAATAGCCGGATTGGTGGTTCATCCTCCTCTACTGCAGCTGCTAACCCAAGTACAGAGCAGGTCCCTAGATGATGCTCATGGTGAGCAGGTAACTGTTCATGATGAGCCCATAACTGTTCCATTTTCTTTCTCTGTATCATGATATGTAAAATAGTTTACTTTGCCTCCCATGTTGCCGAGGTAATTTGGAATGGCATAAGGCAGGTCTGCAAATCAATTAGTCCAGGGATTGCTTCGAATTGTTAATTTTTACATGGAAAGGTTGAAATTTATCAGTTTTTTCAAGAAATATTACTTCGAATCAATTGCACTACTGTTGACAACCGGAACCTCATCATGTACAGTGTTTCTATACTCTTGTGATCAACAGTTGAACACAATTTTGATTTTAACAATGTACTGGTTGCACCTAATTAAGGGATAGGTTATGTCATATGCAAGTTTTATTTGAACAAATATTCCGGGGGTGATAACAGTTTGAGATATGAATGCAGCCGCATTACTTCGAATCGTAACCATATATTAGATTGAATGGTGCTATGCTAAAAATTTATGTGTTGGAAAGTATGTTATTTGTTATGGTTGTGCTGCAAATTATATATGTTGCAACTTATTTAAGTAAAACAAAAAGTGCTGGAAATTGGGCATGCATAAGGAGAATGGATTTGGATGTGAATCGTTATGGCCAAATTTCCATACACACTTTATAAAAGTGATAAAAGACAAATATTTGAATATCAATTGGTTATGTAAACCGTCTTTTATAATATCAGAGCAAAACATTCTTACTATACCAATAAAAAATAAAAATATATTTCTGGTTTACTTTTGTATACAATATCTAATAATAGCCACACTTCCCTGCTATTAAGCACATACTTATATGAAACTACAAATGTATGCATATCGCGCAACCTGCCAATATACCAAGAAAAAATAGTGGCCCCAATTTTTGGTAGACTGATCTTATCCCAAGTCATCCCTTCAGTAGGGAACTCAACCATGAGTTTGTATTTACAATATGAGGTATTTGATCCTAAATGAGTCCCTCTATTATATTTGAACCCAATTATGTATGGTTCTTTTATTGAAAACTGGATGTGTTGAGATTTTAATAGCATTGGAGTTGTGGTGAAATAGAGTAGAATATCCAAAAATGCAAGAATTTGGACCACTTCACTGCAAGTGGCTGATATAACCTTATCTGCTACTTCAAGGATGACTCTTCAATTGACTTTCAATCGTCAGAAGATACAAACTTATGCAATGGTTATCATCTTTGTGCAAGAATCAAAGTATTCCCTTCTAGTGTATGCTATATATTTCCTAAGGGGATCAACCTTTGCCTGATGTATATCTATTCCCTTCTAGTGTATGCCATGGTATTTCCTAGGGCAATCAACCTTGCCTGATATATATCTAGATTCTCATCAAAGTAATACTTCGTTTTGTAAATCATTTGCACAACAAAGACATTTGGTAGATTTTATTTTTAAACTTTTAGGTCTCGGTTGCGAGTGTCCCCTCAGGCATTCCGCTCTTCCTACAGTGGTTGGCTGAACTGTCTGTGAAGTGTTGTTTTTAAGGTCTATGATTGCATGGTAAATGAAGGATTAAATAATGGAAGAATCCTATCAAAATTTTCAATGTCACCTGTTAGATATGGGCCATGGCTGCTTATCTCTGCTACCTGTTCTAAGGCTGGACCAATATATATTTTGAAATTTGGGAGAAGAACATGGTACAGTTGGGGGAATAGGTGGGAATAGAGACTCTACTATGAACTCAAAGAAATTTGGCATGTCGAGAGACGAACCCTTCAGCAATGAGCACTTGATAGTATCATATTACCCTAAATGGAGATCTGACTTAGAGAAATGCCCGCTTCTCACAAATTCTTCAGATGTGTGCTCAACATGCACAGCTATGTTTCTTGTGTAAATCCATTCTCTGATAATCTAATTTGATTTGCTCTGTGCTCAAAATAAAATATGGTGGGAGCTTCCTCCTTGGTGTGACTCTATTGGGAAAGGTGGGATGTATCAGAATCTTTTGTTCCTGTAGAACTTTATCCACCATTTCCATTGAGAATATAGGATTTAATATATGCACATGCACACACAAACACATGTGTGATGCTTAGGCATATATGTATGCAGGTAAAATAAGCCACTGTTGTGTGGACATAATGTGATAGTGGGTTACTAACCCCTTCTCTGAGAAGCTTTCCATAACTCACTTGAGCCAATAGACACCAATGGACTTGCCAATAGATGCAGGGTAGCATTCAATAAAGCAAATATACAAACACGGGTGTTCGGGTTCCAGCCAAAATCATCCCCCCCGCCCCCTCAAAAACAAAAAAGACCCTCCTCCCTCACTCAAAATATTATGGACATTTTAGATGAAATGTTTAGCTGAAATTGTAGATTTTTGAGCCACCTCCCTCCCTCTCTTACGCATTTTGGACATTTAGATGAACGGTTAACTGAAATTGGGGATTCTTGGACACCAAGGAGAAGAAAGGTTTTTAAGTACTCGGCTATGCACCTCAATGGTTTTGGTGCGGTGTATCTGGCTTCCGATATCTTATCTGGCCTTTGTAAGATGCAAATGCTGCTATTTTACACATGACACTTCGAAAGAATTATGTGGAGCCCTTGTTCGAATTAGTGAGTCAGATTTAAAAACATTTGGAGCTACTATATCTTGACTGTCCTTCCTCTCCAGGACTCTGAACAGGTACTTTTGGAACACCAACAGGCATGAAGGAAAAAGGAGTTAAGCTCTATAATTTCACTTTGATGCGGAAACGTAAGAGTGGGTTTATTGTCTTCATGATATTGTCGTTTATCATATTTTATTCATAAATTGAAAGGTTTGTAGAGGAATACAAAATAATTTTTTTTTTAGTTGGGGCTGAAGTAGCTGGGTTTGTACCATTGAATGCCTTCTAGTCAAGCTGTGGGGGGGAACCCATTCAAAATGATCTAGCTATGGTATACATTTGAATGAATGAGCCCAGATTGGAAGGATATAGTGGCTGTATATAGCATCTTGCCCACACATCCAGACAATCCATGAATCCATTTCTGGAAAGCTTTTATGGTGTCCTCAGATTGAAGGTCCATAGATTCCTCCACACATGAACTTTACATGCACTATAATAGATTACCACTCATATTTGTAATGATCTCAATATCACACCCGTTTTTTGGGAATTTGATGATCTCTGTCAGTGGTGTCGGGATGATTCATTGCTTGGTGGCACAGTTCGATCACCTAAACTTTTAGGTCCCTTTGTTTATTTTTTCTATACATTTTGTATCCCATTTTTGGGTGGGGAAGTTGGCGTTGAGGACGACCCATTTCAGCGCATTGATCCCTCCCAAAGAGGGAAGGACAATGATATTCCTCAGCAGTTCGAATTCATGTGCAGTTGTGTCCATCCTTGCAGTGAGGCAGCAATTTTTCCAAGGTGTCTCTAAAATGCCACCTTTTCCTCGTTGTTTAACTTGTCCATGTCAAAAGAAAAACAGTCTTCTCAATCTAAGTTGAAAGGCTTCAGACTCCGTTTCAAATATTAATTGGGGTGTTTTTCATATTTATAAATTTATATTGATGGTTTGAAGGCAAAGGATGTTTTGTTATTCCCTCATGAGAGAGAAGGTTTAGTGTTATTGTCCTGAGACCTCGCTGTCGCTATGTGCCAGGTGTTTGGAAGAAGCATCCATGGGCCTTAGTAGTTGTTGTACCTTTTTTTCACTGAAAGCAACTGGAAATCTGCCTCTAATTTGTTGATTAGGATTATTCTATAAACCCATTTCAAATATGTGATTTTGATGCAGCCCCCTTTGCTAATGATAGTACCCTCCATATCCCCCAAGTCAAATGCCCAAATCATTGAATATTTCATAAGCTTCTTGGCTTTAATAATTTGGAAGGAAACTCGAAAGCGAGCAAGTGTTTATTTGTGCGTAGTAGAAGATGAAGGTGTATGTTGGTCATTTTGTAAAGCTTATGGTGGTGCCCAATTATCTGATCATTGAACGAACTGGGGACCTTCATGTCACATTTTTACCCAGGAGGAAAAAAAAAGAAAAATAAAAAAAAAGCAAGGGATTATATACAATGCGACTATTTACCTTTGGTACAAAGAGGTTCACAATTAATTATAACCATCCAATATGAAATCTAATAGGGTGTTTCCTAAAGTTGGTGAGAATTCTATTGAACTTTGAGCTTGTTCAATGGAATAAATGCAATCAGATTTTGCATCCAATGGTCAAGATTAATTGTGACTACATATTAATTGTGATTACCGTGTATTAAATGGTTTTCTATTATGAGTTTGTCCAAAGGAAAAAGTATATATAAAGTAGCAATCATATAATGTTAACGTAAGGTGCACCTTAAAAATTCTACATTCTACAGTGGAGTGTTTTAGCATAGGAGAACCCTCCAACTGATCATCTCGACTTGAGATGAATAGACAAAGAAAAAAAATGAATTTCATGACAAAAAACAAGTGCATCTTGTAACACGATATTTGGACCGTCTATTTTCAATATTTTCAAGAAACTTTTAAATTTTATAATTAAGAATAAAAAGAGATTTTGAAGCCATCATGAGGTTTTCGATGCCAAAACGACATCTCTAAGTAAATTTTATTGGTGTGCCTTGCTGCAACGTTATATAAATTCCACCCTTGGTCCAAATACCTTGTATTTAGAGGGTATTAATATGTTTAAAGAGCCATTATCTGTATTTTGCCCTAATGGTGGAGGCTGCAATTGATGACTTGAGTAGTGGGAACAATTATTCAGTGACAAATATGAAGGCATGCCTTTGATTAACTTAGTGTTGGACTTGGATTCCTATAATAATATTGGTCTTTATTCACTCCCCAAAAGAAATGGAAGAAAAAATTATTATTTCTATGGGTGGGTTTGTTGGAATTTGTATCTTGGACGTTTATGCTGTGGCTCCTATTTGCCCTAACTACCAAGTGAAGATGCCGACACTAAATTATCTTTCATAGCATATTTGATGCTATTTGAAATATCTAGAACATTGAAACTGTTGGTACTGCCGACATATGGTCGAGAAATTGCTGGGGAAGTATTGCATGCATTTGTGGTATGCGATATATATATATATATATATATATATATATTATTATTATTATTATTATTTGAAGTAGTGTGCGATATATGTTGGTGGTATGGGATCTCCACCATCTGTTCCCAATGACCGATGGTGATTTATCTGCCTTGGTGGATGTTTCCATGATTAGTCTTGACCATCCGTCATTGGAAATGGACAATGTATGTTCCAATAATGTATCATATGTCAGGCACATCTGCCACATTGTGTGCTTATGTGGAATTGTAAATTGTACAAAAATTACATATACCCCGTAAATGGTACTCTCTAGGCATTTCCCACCCACCCCC